TCCATTTTTCCTTTTTGAAATTTTACATTATTCAGTTTTAACAATTTTTAGATTTCTCATTATTTAGATTTTTCAATTTTTTAAATTTTAATTTTTCGACATTTCGATTTCTGGATGTTTTTTTTTTCAATATTTCGATGTTTCAATTTTTTTGTTATTCGAAATTCGATTTTTCAATCTGGATTCTTCGATTTTTTTATTTTTCGACTTTTCGATTTTTCAAGTTTTCAATATCCCAGTTTTTCGATGTTTCAGTTTTAGGATCTTTCAAATTTTCTTCAATTTTTCGATTTAACGATTGATCAATTTTTTGATATTTTAGTCTTTTGGTTTCTTAAATTTTCGATTTTTTTGCTTTTCGATTTCTCGGTCTTTCAATTTTTGGATATTTCAGTCTTGGAATCTTCCAACATTTCGATTCTTAAATTTTTCGATTTCTCGATTTTTGAAATTTTAGATTTTCGATTTTTCGATTTTTCGCTTTTTACATTTTTTCATTTTTTTTGTAGTTTCATTTTCCCGATCTTTTGATTTTTGGATTTTTGAAATGTTTGATATTTTGAATTTTCAATTTCGGTTTTTTAATTTCTCATGTTTTAATGTTCCGATTTTTCGATGTTTTGACGTTTCTCTCGATTTTATCATTTTTCAATTTCGGATTTTTCAATTTTTCGATATTTAATTTTTTGATTTTTCTCCTTTTCGATTTCTCGATCTTCCAATTTTTCGACTCTCGATATTTTATTTTGTACCTAATTTTTGTTAATTTTCAATTTAACAATCTTTTGATTTTTCGACTTTTCGATTTCTCGATTTTTTCATTTTTCAGTTCTTTGATTGTTATATTTTTCAGTTTCTCGATTTTTCGATTTTTAAAATATTTGATATTTTGAATTTTTCGGGTTTTAAGTTTTCAATTTCTCGATGTTTCAATGTTCGGATTTTCCGATTCCTCGCGGGTTTTCAATTTATCGGTCTTCTAATTTCTATGTTTTGACTTTTCAATTTTTCATGATAACTGTTTCGGGATTTTCCAATTTCTCGATTTTTCAGTTTTTCGTTTTTTTTCAATTTTTCGATTTTACAATTTATTTGGTCTCATGATTTTCCTTCTTTTTTAATTTTTAATGAGTATTTCAATTTTCCAATATTTCAATTTTGGGAATTTTTCAATTTCGGGATTTTAAAATTTTTTTGCTTTTCAATATTTTGATTTTGCGACTTCGATTTCTCGATTTTTCAAATTTTTAATATCTCAGTTTTTCGATGTTTCAGTTTTAGGATCTTTCTGTTTTCTTCAATTTTTCCATTTATCGAGTGATCAGTTTTTCGATCTGTGAGTTTTTAGATTTTTCAGTCTTATCAATTTTTCGATTCCTCGATTTGTCGAGATTTTGATGTTTTGATTTTTCAATTTTTCAAATTTTGATTTTTCGATTTTTCAATTTTTTAATTTCTCAACATTTCGATTTCTCAATCTTTTGATGCATCGATTTCTCGGTGTTTCTTTTTTTCAATATATCTCTGTTTAGAATTTTCCTTATTCCTTATTTTTTTATTTTCGACTTTTCGATTTTTCGAAATCTCGATTTTCGATCTTTCGAAATCTCGATTTTCGAATATTTGGTTCATCGAATTTTCAGTTCATCACGTCTTCGATTTTTCAAATTTTCGAATTTTGGATTTTGATTTTTGAAATTATCAATCTCTCGATTTTTGATTTTTCGACTTTTCGATTTTTCAGTTTTATCAATTTTTGGATTTCCCGATTTCTCAAGATTTCGATGTATCGATTTTTCAATTTTTTAAATTTTAATTTTTCGATTTTTCAAATTTTGGATTTTTCTTAATTTTTTGAATTTTCGATTTATCAATCTTTCGATTTTTTGATTTTTCGACTTTTCGATTTCTCGATTTTCCAAATTTTCAGTATCCCAGTTTTTCGATGTAAAGTTTTAGGATCTTTGTGTTTTCTTCTATTTTTCGATTCCTCAACTTTTTAATTTTTTAATCTTTTGTATTTTAAAATGTTCGATTTTTCAGTTTTTCAATTTTTCGATATTTAAGTCTTTGGATTTTTCAGCATTTCGATTCTTAAATTTTTCGATTTCTCGATTTTTTAAATTTTAGATTTTCGATTTTTCGATTTTTTCATTTTTCAGTTCTTCGATTTTTATATTTTTCAATTTTTAAAATTTTTTAATTTGACATTTTTAATTTTTTTGTAGTTTCAATTTCACGATTTTTCGATTTTTAAAATGTTTGATATTTTGAGTTTTCAACTTTTTCGGTTTTTAAGTTCGATGTTTCAATGTTCCGTTTTTCCGATTTTTCGGCTTTTCGATTTATCCAATTTTTCGATGTTTTGACTTTTCAATTTTTCGTGATTTCTATTTCTGGATTTTTGTCAATTTCTCGATTTTCCAATTTTTTTGGGGTCACGATTTTCCTGTTTTTCAATTTTTAATATTTCAATTTTTCAAGATTTCAAATTTTGGGAATTTTTCAATTTCGGGATTTTTCAAGTTTTCGATGTTTTAGTTTTTCGATTTTTTTGATGTTTCGATTTTTCTGCTTTTTGATTTCTCGATCTTCCAATTTTTCAATTCTTGTTTTTTTGATTTTCGACCTAATTTTTGTTAATTTTCGATTTTTTGATTTTTCGACTTTTCGATTTCTCGATTTTTCAATATCTCAGTTTTTCGATTTTTCAGTTTTAGGAGCTTTGTGTTTTCTTCAATTTTTCGATCTTTGAATTTTGAGATTTTTGAGTTTTTTGATTTCTCGATTTTTGATTTTTTAATTTTACATTTTTCGATTTTTCAGTTTTATCAATTTTTCGATTTCTTGATTTGTCGAGATTTCGACGTTTCGATTTTTCAATTTTTCAACTTCTCAAAGTCTCGATTTCACGATATTTCTTTTTTTCAATATATCGATGTTTCGAATTTTCCATAATCGATTTTTTTTATTTTCGACTTTTTGATATTCGAATTTTCAATTTATCAATTCTTTGATTTTTCAAATTTTGGGTATCCCAGTTTTTCGATGTTTCAATTTTGGGTTTTTGTGTTTTTTCGATCCTTCAATTTTTCGATTTTTCAATTGATCAATGTTTTTAAATTGAAATATTTTGTTTTCTTAAATTTTAGATTTTTCACTTTCTGTATTGTTTTTTTCGATTTCTCGATTGATCGAGATTTCCATTTTTTTTTTAATTTAAATTTTTCCATTTTGGGCTATTTCGATTTTTCAGTTTTTCGACTCTTTGACTTTTCGAGATCTCGGTTTTTCGATTTTTTAAATTTTAGATTTTCCGATTTCTAGTTTTTTACAGTGTTTCAATTTTTTCGTTTTTTTTTTTTTAAATGTACCATTTTTCGATTTTTCCATTCATAGACGTTTCTGTTTTTCAATGTTTAAAATGGACTATTTCTCAATTTTTCAAGTTTTCGATTTCCCAACTTTTTAACACCTCACTATTTCGATTCTTGGTTTTTTTGATTTTTCGAAATCTCGATTTTCGAATATTTGATTTATCTATTTTTCGATATTCGAATTTTCAATTTATTTCTTTTTCTATTTATCAAATTTAAAATTTTTTTGAATTCTTCGTTTTTTCAAATTTCCGAATTTTCGATTTTTTTTCAGTTTTTAGACTTTGCAATTTTTTTTACTTTTCGATTTTCAATTTTGCATTCGTCAGTTTTTAGATTTTTCAATGTTTCGATTTCTCCACTTTTGGTTTTTTAAATTTTATATTTCTCGATTTTTAAATTTCTCAATTTTTCAGTTTTATCAATTTTTTTTTATTGTCGTTTCGATTTTTCAATTTTTCGAGTTCTCAACGTTTCGATTTCTCCATCTTTTGATACTTCGATTTCTCGATGTTTCTTTTTTCCATATTCGAATTTTTTAATTTTCGACTTTTCGATTTTTGATATTTCCTTTTTTTCTGTATTTCTATTCTTGGGTTTATCGACTTTTCGAAATCTCGATTTGGTTCATAAAATGTTCGATTATTCGATATTCGAATTTTCAATTTGTCAATTCTCCAGTTTTTCAGATTTTTGAATTTTGGAGTTTTGATTTTTTAAATTATCAATGTTTGGATTGTTTAATTTTTCGACTTTTCGATTTCACGATTTTTAAATTTTCGGTATCTCAGTTTTTTTTCCATGTTTCAATTTTGATTTTTTTCTGTTTTTTCCATTCTTCAATTTTTTGATTTTTTAAATTTTAGGTTTTTCGCATTCTCGATTTCTCGTTTTTTGATTTTAAATTTTTTGGTTTTTAAATTTTTCAATTTCCGTTTTTATTCATTTTTCGATTTTTTTTCTTTAAATTTTTCGACTTCATGATTTTTCGATTTTTCGAATTCTCAGGTTTTCGATTTTTTAAATTTTAGATTTTTCGATTTTTAATTTTTTACAGTTTTTCAATTTTTCGTTTTTTGAAATGTTACATTTTTCAATTTTTCCATTCCTAGACGTTTCTGTTTTTCAATGTTTAAAATTTTCTATTTCTCAATTTTTTTAGTTTTCGATTTCTCAACTTTTCAACACTTGGGTATTTCGATTTTTCAATTCGATACCTAGTTCGTTTTTTCAATATTTCGATTCTTGGGTTTTTCGATTTTTCGAAATTTCGATTTTCGAATATTTAACTTATTTTTCGTTATTTGAATTTTCAATTTTTATATTTTCCGATTTTTTTTACTTTTCGATTTTCAATTTTTTCAGTCTTTCGAATTCTCGATTCTTCAGTTTTTAGATTTTCCAATTTTTTTTTTATTTTCGATTTTTTGATTTATGAAATTCTCGATTTTTCGACTTTCTGGGAGGTTTTTCTATTGTTTGAGCTTTACTTCTAAGGCTAGGGAAGTTTTATCGAAATAACCTTCTACCAATTTTTTTCCAAGAATACAACGTCAAAGTTAAAAAATAACGCCGCCTTCATAGCCCACCAATACCACTAACACCAACCACCCCCTTTTCCAGTTAAAACCTTCTGCGAAGTCAAATTCCCGTACAAAGCACAAAACGAAGACGAGCTGACGCTGAGAGAGGGCGACCTCGTCACCCTCATCAGCAAGGACGGCCAGGACCCGGGCTGGTGGAAGGGCGAACTCAACGGCTTGGTCGGCGTTTTCCCCGACAACTTCGTCACGCTCTTGCCCCTGTTCCCCGACGACGGCACGACGAAGGACGAGAAAAAACCAAAAAGCCACGTGGAGCCGGTCTCCGTCAAACCTAGCGCGATAAATGCACAACGAAAGTCGTTGGAGGTCCTGAATAACGAAAAAGACGGCGAGAGCGCGACCACCAAGACCACCCCGCCGCTGCCCGGCAAGAAACCCAGCATCCCGCTGAAGAAGTCGCCGTCGAGCGGCAGCTCGTCGGGCGGCATCTTCTACGGCTTGAAGAAGAAGCTGGTGGACGTGGTGGACGGCGCCACGGGCAGCAAGATTTCGCCGCCGAAGACTGAGAGCGAGAGCGCGGCGCCGGAGAATGTGTTCGACGACGTCCACAGGAGGCCGCTGCTGGCGGACGTGAGGGCCAGCCGACCTAAAGCACCAGGTAAAGAAAATAGTCAAAACTTCATTACAGACGTCGTAAATAAATATGGACCCAAGACATGTCCCTGGAATGTGCGAGTTTATCGAAAAACTAAATATGCTTTCTGATAGTTTGATAGTATTGAAAAATTGCAATCTAAACAAAATATCCTAAAATATGTGTCATTTATTATTGACATATCTTTGGTAGGTAGACGTCGTATCTGATCCTAAACGAAGTACGTGCTCTTGAATGTATCTGATAAAAATCAGTACTTACTGTGGAAATTCATCATTGATAAAGCGACATTTTATTATTACTAATATTTATTTTTTACTGTATGCCCACTAAATTTTAAAAAGTGGTGGATTTTTTAACTACGAGGTTGGTAATATGCTAAATGCCGTGCTTGATCAGTTCTGAATGTCGTGATTTGGTGCATATTATTAAAAAAAATTAAAAAAATCGAGCATGTTAGGAAAAATATCCACTTTCCGCGCTGCTTTTAAGCCAAAACGGACCTCCGATGTTGCTGCCACTAGACCGAAATCAAAACTGTACACAAAGGACCGATGAGATTGCCAAAAATATTGTTTGTATTTTGGCCGGGAAATTGCACATTTTCGGGGTTAATTTAACAATGTTTAAACCAAGTGAATTATTTATTAAGTCATGATAATTTATAAGCAGCGTTTGCACGGATTGATTTCACTATATTAACTAAAAATCGTAAATACTAATTGTTGATATTAATTTTTAATTTATGATCGAAAAAAAAAACAGTCTTGCAGTAGGCCGTAAAATTTATTATCAAAAAAAAAATTTCATAGCCTACTTGAGGCCTTTTGATTCTTCCACTTCGTTAAAATTCGCTGCTGTTAATCGTAGGAAGCGAAAATGGTCAGCAACCATAACATACTATATATAATTTTCCTTTCATACTTTGTTGACGTTTCGAAAAATTAAAAATTTAAAAAATTGGCGAGAAAAATCTGAAACTTGAACACTCGATACATCGAAATCTCGATAAATCCAGAAATCGAAAAATTTAAAATGATACAACAACATTTTATGACAATTTTTCTTGGAAAATACATACCCAATTTTCACATTCTTTAAGGTTATCGTGAAGATTGTGAATGTTTAATAAGAAGTCGTGTGTGCATCCCCCTCCAAAACCTCGATGACGTCATCTCAAAATGCTTATGATCTAATAATTCACTCCTTTTGTAGACACAATGCCTGTATATTTTTTAAAAATATTAAAAAAAAAATACAACAAAATTTAATAATTTAAGTGTGACTCAAAATAATTCTGTTCGTCCCTTCCGGAAATTTTTCAATTTTTCGACTTTGCTGTTTTTCGGTTCTTCAGTTTTTCAATTTTCGAATTCGATTTCTCCTCTTTTCGAGTTTTCGATGTTTTGATTGCCAGAGATTTTTCAATTCTTCAATTTTTTCGATTTTTCTTTTTCCTCTTTTCTGGTTTTTGGGTTTTTCAATTTTTCGATTGTTCCACTTTTCGATTTCTCGATCTTTCAGTTTTTCAGTTTAATTTTTCCATATTTCTTAAATTTTCGATTTTTCGAGTTTTTAATTTTAGATTTTTAAATTTGTCAATTTCTCGGTTTTTTGATTGCTCGATTTGTCGATCTTCGAATTTTTCAATATTTTGACTTTTGAGTTTTTAGATTTCCCAATTTTTCGTTATTTCAGTTTCGGGATTTTTCAATTTCTCGATTTTTCAGTATCTAAATATTCTGGAATTCGATTTTTCGATTTTTTATCTTTTTGACTTCTAGATTTTTCGTTTTTTTTCCAATTTCTCGATTTCTCAACTTTTTAATGTTTCGATTGCTACATTTTCTAGATTTATAAGTTTTACAATTCCTTAATTTTTTCTATTTTTCCCCATTTTTCAGGTTTTTGGTTTTTTAATTTTTTCGATTTTTTAAATTTTTGATATTTCTTCTTTTCGATTTCTCTGTCTTTTAATTTATCAATTTTCGTTCGGTTTTGTTTAATTTTTAGTTTTTTCGATTTCTCGATTTTTTTCATTTTTCAGATCCTTGAATTTTATATTTTGCACTTTTTCGATTTTTAAAATTTTTGATTTTTTCCACTTTCGATTTTTCAATTTTTTCTCATTTTAATTTTTCGAATTTTTCAATTTTTAATTTTTCAATTTTTTTTTTATTGTTTCAATTTCTCGATCTTTCGATTTTTCTTTTTTAAAATGTTTGACATTTTGATTTTTCAATTTTTCGGTTTTTAAATGTTTCGATTTTTTAATTTTTCTATTTCGCTGTTTATCGAGATTAGATGTTTCAACTTCTCGTTGTTTCAATATTCTGATTTTCCGATTTGTTGATCTTCTAATTTTTCGATGTATTGACTTTTCAGTTTTTCCATTTCCCAATTTTTCGTTATTTTACTTCAGGAATTTTTCAATTTCTCGATTGTTCAGTCTTTCAATTTTTGACGTTTCTAAATTTTCCGAATTCGGTTTCTCCATTTTTTGCCTTTTTGACTTTTAGATTTTTCGATTTTTTTTTTTATTTTTCCGTTTCTCTATTTCTCAACTTTTCAATGTTTTGATTGCTACATTTTCGAGATTTTTAAGTTTTTCAACTTATTAATTTTTTCTATTTTTTCTCCATTTTTCAAGTTTTTGGTTTTTCAATTTTGCGACTTTTAAAATTTTTCACTTTTCGATTTCTCGGTCTTTCAATTTTTCGATTCTTCAATTTTCTTTCGATTGCTCAAATTTTCAATTCATCAATTTATCACTTTTTCGGTTTTTTAAGTTTTAGATTTTTAGATTTTCCCAATTTTCAGTTCTTGCATTTTTTTGTTTCAATTTCTTGATCTTTCGATTCTTCTACTTTTAAAATGTTTGATATTTTGATTTTTACAATTTTTCGATTTCGGCATTTATCAAGATTTAGAGGTTTCAACTTCTCTGTTTCAATATTCCGATTTCTCGATTTTTCGATTTTTCCGCTTTTCGATTTATCGATCATCGAATTTTTCGATATTTTGACTTTTCAGTTTTTCGATTTCCCAATTTTTCGTTATTTGAGTTTCGAGATTTTTTAATTCCTCAATTTTTTAGTTTTTCAATTTTTGCGTTTTTAAATTTCGAATTCGATTTCTAGATTTTTTGCCTTTTCGACTTTTAGATTTTTCGATTTTTTATGTTTTTCAATTCATTATTTTTTTCTATTTTTTCCCCATTTTTCAAGTTTTTGGTTTTTCAATTTTGCGATTTTTAAAATTTTCGACTTTTTTCACTTTTCGATTTCTCGGTGTTTCAATTCTTCGATTCTCCAATTTTTCTTCGGTTTTTCAAATTTTCAATTCATCAATTTTTCGGTTTTTTAAATTTTAGATTTTTCGATTTTTCCATTTTTCAGTTTTTCAATTCATCGATGTATCAATTTTTCGATATTTCAGTTTTGGGATTTTTTAGCTTTCCGATTTTTCAGTTTTTCATTTCAATTTTTGGATTTTTTAAATTTTGGATTTTTCAGTTTTTTCATTTTTTAGTTCTTCCATTTTTTTATTTTTCAATTATTCGAATTTTTAAATAGATTTTTTTGTTTTTAAAATGTTTAGTTATTTTGACTTTTCAGTTTTTCGATTTCCCAATTTTTGGCGTTTTAAATTTTCGGATTCCATTTTTTCGATTTTTTGCCTTTTCGACTTTCAGATTTTTCGATTTTTTTTATTTTCCCATTTCTCAATTTCTCGACTTTTCAATGATTCGATTGCTACATTTTCTAGATTTTTAAGTTTTTCCATTCTTTAATTTTTTTCGATTTTTTCCCCATTTTTCAGGTTTTTGGTTTTTATATTTTGGAATTTTTGAATTTTAGATTTTTCAAATTTTTGTTTCTATTTCTAGTTCTTTCAATTTTTAAAATGTTTGATACTTTGATTTTTCAATTTTTTGGCTTTGAAATTTTTAGATTTTTCGGTTTCTTGATTTTTTAGCTTGTCGATTCTTGAATTTTTCGGTTTTTTAAATTTTCGATTTTTTCATTTTCGAGTTCCTTGATTTTTAAAACTTCCGATTTTTCCACTTTCGATTTCTCGATTTTTTCATTTTTCACTTCTTCGGTTTTTATATTTCCCAATTTTTGGAATATTTGAATTTTAGATTTTTTAAATTTTTGATGTTTCTATTTCTCGATTTTTCAATTTTTCGGTTTTGAAATTTTTCGGTTTTTTAAATTTTGGATTTTTCGATTTTTTCATTTTCCAGTTCCTTGATTTTTATATTTTTTAATTATTTGATTTTTAAAATTTTCGATTTTTCCACTTTCGATTTCTCGGTCTTTCAATTTTTTGATTCTTCAATTTTTCTTCAATTTTTCCGTTTTTCCATTTATCTATCAATTTACCAATTTTCGATGTTTCTGCACTTTTGGGATTTTTCAACATTTCGATTTTTCGGTATCTCGATTTTTTATCTTTTCGATTTTTCGGTTTTTCGTCATTTTAATGTTTCGATTTTTCAAATTTTAGATTTTTCGATTTCTCGATTGTTTTCATTTTATATTTCTTTTATATTTTCCAATTTTTGGAATTTTTGGGATTTTTCAACATTTCAATTCTTAAATTTTCCATTTTCGATTTCTCGATTTTTTAGCTTTTCGAATTTTCATTTTTTCATCATTTTAATTTTTCGATTTTTTAAATTTTAGACTTTTCAATGTCACGATTTTTTCATTTTTCAGTTCTTTGATTTTTATGTTTTCCAATTTTTGGAATTTTTGAATTTTAGATTTTTCAGATTTTTTGTTGTTTCAATTTCTCGATTTTTCAATTTTTGGATTTTACGATTTTTTGATGTCTCGATTTTTGGGTTTTTTTACTTTTTTTTTTTCTCCATTTTTCAACATTTCAATCTCGGGATTTTTCGATATTTTAGTTTTTCGATTTTTTAAATTTAATTTTCTGATTTTTTTGATCTTTCGATTTTTCCAATTTCTCGGTTTTTCAATTTTTTGATTTTT